TTAAATGTGTTTAAGAAGTAACATAAAGTTGAACAATTTTAATGGTTTATCTTTTTTTAAACTTCATTATAAAGTTATTATTTATAAAAACTAAACTTACAGCCATAGAAGTAATGGAAGATTTGGAAAAAAGACGCTCAGCTTCTTTAAATTTCCTGTTACGCGGTTCATTTTTAGAATTAGGRAGTTTATTGGCTGATGTAAGATATCTGTCCCAACCACGAATGATATTACCATATAAATGAGTGTCTTCTAAGTAACTTCCTTCAAATGCATAAATTTGACGTTCAAGATTGGCTAAAGTTTCCTAAAACCACAAATAATCATTAGCTTTAAAAACAAACGAATATTAATAGAAATACCCTAATAAAATTGTTTAATTTATTTCAATGTGAAAAATTATAATAAAATGTACATATCAATGTAAAACACWTTTTTTTTATTCATTTAATAATTTTATTAAACAGTAMAGTAGGAATAAACATAACCTATTATAGTTTGAGATTTTAGAACAATCATAATARTTGATCAATTACTGAGTACTRTTTATGTCTATTATTATAATATTTTATTCCCAAATCACTCTTTTAAGCTTTGGCGCGCGTGTTCGAATCGCTTTAGATGTAACCAGCTTTGTAGATACATATTATTGGTGCGTACACTTTGTACAATTCAATTACTTTTGAACATTAAATATACAAGTACACAACTGCTGGCAAACATAATATAATAATTTTTGTTGTGTCAACACGTACTGTATTTCTGGTCAAACTTWTGTATTATTTACGTATRAATTACCAAATTAAATATATCAATTATCGACGAGTTTGAATGGTCACGGAGGTTGTGTAATGATTATAATTTATAACATATACCTCTCGTAGACACGAAATAATATGTAATTTACCAGTATTTAAAACAACAATCGGCACAAATTAGAGTGTAACGTTGAAAAACCTTTGGTTCCGTACAAAACTTACAGCGATGTCTGATTTGCGTTTGACGAGCTCGGCCAGCTCGGTGCGCAAGTCGTTGGAACCAGACGACTTGGACATGGCGTGCTAGCTTGGAAACCGTGCCAAGTATCTACCGTTCGAATACGTTACCCACCCAAACCACGATTGAGAATTCGATAAAAACCAATGAAATAATATTTCGTTACAGCTTTTCTTGACYAAAGTAATGCGTGATGCGTCGTCGCCGTTAATTGTTATTCGTTATTCAATTCAATTTATCGTTTTAATTTTGATTTTCCAACACATTACTGATTAGTGATTAGCAATCGGTCAACGGTGTCTGTTATCAGTATATCATCACGAGTCGCTCGTGATCGGGGTTTGTTCATATTATTTTGTTGTCTCCGAAATATTGGCGGGATCCGAAAACCGGCGGCACACTGTCGGCCGGGAACGTTGGCGGCACTGTGCCGGTTACTAATTTAGGCGGCGCGAGCTTTATTTTTCGTCTGTATCCCGCGCGCACCAAGCTCTGCGAGCTTTGTCCTGGCGCTCCGGGTGGATTGATTTACGGCTTATGCGTATTATTGATTCGCCCACGCGCGTAGGCCGACATCTGTGCGCGCGGCGTACGACCGCCTGGCCGGGCGGCTGCAGTATAGTTGGCAGTGGGTTAGCGCGCCGGACAGCAGCTGCACGCCTCAAGCCACACGTCGTCGCGGTCGCTATAAATAAAACGGTCGTCTGTGCACGCGGGTGTTCGGCTGGTGCAGCAGTGTGGGTTCGCGCACTCGGACACATTCGCCGACCATCGTCGCGACGGCTGGACAGTAGTACGCCGCAGATGCCTGTCCGCTGCCAACGGTAATCGAGTCGAGTCGACGGAATCCAAACGGGGCGCCTGCAGTGCTGATCGCGGATGTCCGACTGGCGACGATTCGGTGGAGGTAATTTTTGTGTGGAGGTTTTCGTGGGGAGAAAAGAAGTACAAGTTCAGTGGCGTATGCTGGTAGGGGGGGGGGTTAACGGACTGAAGCCCCCTCGATTATTTGATATTATATTGGTTTTTATACTTACCCATGATTTAATATAAAGTATCTTAAAAATCAGTTTTTCACCTAGCTGATTATTACGACCAAAGTCTACAAATATAAATACAATAACTACAATTGAATTATTGAACTGATATTATTAGCAATCCGAGTATCGTTGGATGATTTTTAATTTTTAAGACTTCCTCCATTGAAAAATCCTGCGTACGCCACTGAAGTATAATATATGGCATTGAACTTTAGTTAACATAGGAGCGGATTCATAAGTAGGTGGGCGTTTAATTTAGGAAAAAAATACTTAGTAAAAAGAATCTTAACAAATTTTAAGTTATTTTTAATATTTGTCTCCCCCCTCCATGTTATCTCAGACTGGATTCGCCACTTATATAATACCAGTGCGGCAGTGCTATTAAACGATGCCTTTAGAATAAATTCGATAATATTAAAAAATATGCGCATACGATTAAATAAGTGTTTTTCTTCTTTTTAATAAAGGTAAGGTGGATAAGTCATAACTCAATGATAATATTGTATGGAATATTTTTCGATTGAGATATAACTCGAAATAGTGAGTTTTCCAGTGGCGTAGACGCGTAGTTAAGGGGGAGGCCGAGGGGTTGATGGGGATATATCTCCCAGAGCCTTTTTTGTTCTTAAATGTTTAATGCATTGACTTATACTTGATATAAGATTATAAAATTATAAAATTACCCATGTATTATGTTATAAATTATAATCACCGAAATAATCCACCACGACCTTATCCAGGCTCTCAAATTATATCTATCGCCTATCAAATGTGAATGTGAATGAAAACCCAACCTAACCTAACCTACACATTCACACACACGACCATATTATTATGGTCCAGTTAATATAGTGGCGCACTGGCGCGCAAATCCAAGTGATGAGATTGATAGAAAATTGTTAACGGGCATGGTCGAGACATATTTGAATGATGTGACTTGAGTGCTTGACGATGGGTAAATGGGTAATTTCAGAGAATTTCCAACTTTTGAGTGGTGGATATAATTTGTCCAGAGTACGTAAGTACTGTACTATAAACTAGGTATATATAAATACCATAGGCGTGCGCACGGGGTATGCAGGGTATGCGCCTGCACACCCTGCAGCCAGACGCTTGGGGGCACATGAACAATGCCTAAGTTCATAATTTTGACTGGATTATAAAATGGTAATACGACATCGATATGGAGTATGGAATTGTTTTTAAATTCATTTTGGACGTTTTTCAATAATTTAAGGGAATATCGCCGAATATGGGTTTTA